GGCTCAGCTATTCCGGCTAAGACATGGGAGGGCCACCCACCAACTCACCCTCTTGTTCTCCATCTGCTCCCCAGGCTTATGTTCAGGTATGTGTCTGGTCAACATGCATGCTCAGTCTATGTATACATACTTGTCCATCCACATGGCAGAGGCAATGCCAAAAGCACACCTTGGCATCCAGCTTAAACATTGCCATTTAGGCCCATCATTATTTCCTTTTAGGAACTGAAACTTGTAGGGAAAAGGTTATTTTTAATTGGTAAACAAGTATCTTATCACCCCACACTTGAAAGACTAGAAGCCAAATAAATCCCTCATCCATTGGTAGAAAAAAACACTGTGGAAGGATTCAGCCCTGTACACATAACAGATTTAGTGTGATTAGTGGGCAGTAAGTTTATGGATAGGGTTTCTCCTACAAAAACAGTTTTGTCATTTGGCAACATTCATACTAAAACTCCGTTGTCCCACTTGAAATGTCAGGGGTCAAAGGAGATTAGGAACATTCTTCTGTTATTTTAAATATGAGTCAAGATGCTATAAAAATATGGAAATCATGGGTAACAATATACCACCACTGAAAATAATAATATAAAGATATTCAGCATGAGTCTGCACAGCCAGATCTGGAAGGACTTCCTGGATCCTCTGCCATGCAGGAAGAATTTGCACTAAATTACTATTAAAAACAACAACAAAAAATCCCCAAGAAATGAGAGATCAGTGTCTCCTCCTCTAAGGACTCTGCTTCATCTTTGGCCTCTCCTTCTCTCTCCTTTTGAGGACTTCTGACAAGTACCAGTCTATACTGATTGGCTACCCTATCAACTCCTGCCAGCTCAGACCCTCCCTGGTTACTTTGGCACCTTCATACATTACATATTCTACTATAATTCCTTTTAGGAAATTCGTATCTCCCTTCAGGTAACCTATTTGCCTGTTCAGATTCAGAGAGATGTTCCCTAGCTCACTGTACTCTGCCTATTGGTCATGAATGTCCTCTTCAGTGGATTTCTCATTAACCCCTGTGCCAAAGAGACTGTAACCCTCCACTGATCTCTGAGGCTCCAATTCATTCCTGTCTTTTTCCATCTATCAAAGTCCTCACATACTCCAACACTTGAACCTTCCTCAGAACAAAGCCCTTTGCCTCTCTTTCTCCTCACTTTCTCTTCCAGCTGGTAGATGCTTCTCTATCCTTATATGTGGTAAAGTCTTTATTGCCTGCCTCATACAGATTGAGCACATTTCCTAGGGCATGTGCAGACAAAATGGGGGCCCTAAATTGAAGCAGTGGGTTTTAAAAAACACCACTTCAATTAAGGGCCAATTAAACCCCCGTGTCATGCACACACCCAGCAGGGAAGGGAGGGCAAGCTGCCAGTGGGTGGAGTAGTCCCTGGGTTGTGGTAGGGGTGGAGGGAGGCTGGTGCTCCCAGCGTCCCTCCATATGGCACCCAGCTCAAGTGATCCCGGGGGGCATAACAGCCGCGGAGGGAAGCACCAGGCCCCTGCGCAGTTCAGGCAGGCAGGCAGGCTCCAGGGGGGAAAAAAAAGATCAGGCTTGCCGCTTTTCTTGGGCAGAGCTGCTTTCCCAGGCTGCTGCCAGGCTGTCTGCAGAGCTGTGGAGCTGCACAAAGCCCGGTGCTTCACTGTGCAGCTGTAGGGGCAGCAAACTAAAACTCGAAGGACTTGCTGCACCCCAAGTCATTTATGGCACATTATGTAGCCAAATTTCCTACAGCGGCTGGAATTAATGCACAATACACCGCCGAGGCATGCAAACAATGACACCATTAAACCAGTGCAAAAGCATTTAGCCGGCTTTAAAGTGTTGTGCACACACCCCACTCATTTTGCCTACACACGTCCCTAGAGGGCAAATAGCCACAGTGAAGAACATACTATAGATCAGAGGTGAGCAATTTTTTGTGCTGGAGGGCAACTTAAGGAGATTTGGTGAGCTGTTGTAGGCCAAAGAGGGGTATTGACTTGGCTTGGCATGATGTGGCAGGGGAAAGTCGGGGGTTGGAGGGGAGAAAAAGATCCTATCCACCCTGCACCCACTGCCGGAGCACCAGATGGAGTGTGCAGGTGGGCAGGCAAGGTCTCCATGGAGATTGGCTTGGGATCCCCATAGGCATGGTGTGCTCAGCTGGGCAGGAGGGCAGGGAGTAGGATAGCATCTGGGAGTGGGATGGGCAGGTGGGTGGGTAGGGGGAAGGCCTGGGGCTGAGTTCATGGGACAGTGACTGTGCAGGGCCAGGACCAGGAAAGAGCTGCAATCTGCTCCCCTCACATCTCTGTTATGGGCACTAGTTCTGTACGCAAGGAGTGCAGGGAGAGGATTGCATCTCTGTCCCGGCCCTGGCCCCACACTGTCACCACACTGTGATCCCAGCCTCGGTCACCTGTCCTGCTCCTGGCTGCCACTCCCCACCTGCCCATGGCCCCATGCCACCCACCTGGCTGAGTGTGCTCAGCCCATGAGGGTCTTGGGCTGGTCTCCATGAAGACTGCCCACTCCATCCAGCACCTGCAGTGGTGGATGTGGGGTGGACAGGCCAGGGTGCCCAGGAAGTGGGGCCAGGCCCAGTAGCCCAGTAGCAGCTGAGACACTGGCTGCAGCCAGATAATGCATTGCCTCTGCCCTGCCCCGTGCCTGGGGGCTGCGGGATTGCCCACATGTGCCATGGCCCAGGCTGCCTCCTGCTCCTAAGTCAGGCAGGGCTAAGGGACCTGCTGTGGGCCAGATAAAATTCCTTGATGGGCCAGATCTGGCCCATGGGCCATATTTGCCCACCCCTGCTATAGACCTTATCTTCAGCTAGCGTACATCAGTTTCTCCTCATTGACTTCAAATAAGTTCTGGCGGTTTACACCCATTTATAACTGGACCCTGTTAAAACGTCCTCAGCTAATATATACTATAGTAACACTGTGACTAATCTGATGCTGAAAAGAACATAATTTTACCAGTGCTACTGCCTAAGCCTTCCGAGAACCCCCAGACCATTCTCTTATACTTTGAAAGCAATTTTATTTTCTTCTATTCTTTCAGTTATTCTCCGATATTCTAATTTTTTTATAGAGCCATCTGTTCACCCTTTCCATTTTTTCCTGACAGGTTCCTATGCCTTCCTTTGTATTTTTCCTTGACTGGTTCCTATGCCATCCCTTGTATACCTTATCCATCATATTTTCCTATATGACTTTATTTTCCACTTTCCTTCATCGCTGGTTGTTTCTGTGCAAAGCTACTCAGTTGTCTCACTCCTACCATTTTTTTACACTCAGCTTCAAAATAGAGACAGAGAGAGAAAGAGAGGGAGAGAGAAGGAGAGGCTGGTGAATGTCATACCAATTTTTACTGTGTTATTTCCCTTGACATTTCACATTAAAAAGATTCTGTTAAAAACAGGACTAAAAAGTGAAATATTTTAATCAAAAATGATTTTATCAGAAAATTCAATGGGGACCTACAGATGAACATATATACTATTTTTCTCTGGCAGAGAAAAGTAATAGCTAATCTGTATTAACAAACAGTCCTCTTGCAGTCAGTCTGGAAAAACAGGGGGAACTAATTTAGCTGATTGGCAGGACATGGGAAAGTTAGAAAGAGAAAATGTAATAGCCTGATCTGAAATTTGACAAGAACAATGGAGAACTCTTACTCAAGCTTAAATGTACCAGTGGTACCTTTAATTGCCAACGATAATGAAGACTTCAGTTATATTTCTCATCTAAAAGTTGGCACATTTCCCAACATAATGCCCATGAACACTATCTTGCAAAGCTGATTTAGCACTGATGAACAGGGTTGGTGCCTGAATCATATATCAACTTGCTTGATTTCAGAGATTTTATCTCCCATTCCAAATCAGTCCCCAGCCCTCTGCTGGGTTTCCCTCCCCAGAGAAAGGGTCCCAAGTGTCACGGTGGAACAGGCTGGGTTTAGCGGCGGTGGAGTTCTGAGTGACACGGAAGCTGGATGTCCCTTAATTGAATAGGTTTATTAACTTACGCTTGGTAGAGCGCAGGTACGGAGTCTTCAGTTACAGTTAACAACACACAACAGGTGGGACCTGTTGTCCCATGGGGTTCGCTGACAGGCCCTTGCTTTCTACTCCCGGTGCCAGAGCCCGGGTATAGGTGTGGCTGCCTGTCAGGTAAGTCCCAGAGATGGTCAACAGTTTATGAAGGAAGACAAATAACGAAACAAAACTGTAACGCGTCGGTGTCGCCAGTCCACAGAACAGTTGGGTAGCCGAGGTGATTGGTGAAGTCAGGAGCCAGGTAAGTCACGCCGAGGTTGCAGTCAAAGTCCGTAGGGGTGATCCGGAATCCTGGTCGAAGATGGTTGGAAGCCGAAGATCAATACAGTTAGCAATACAGAACGCCAGGTGGGGAGAGAGGCCAATAGGCCCAAGGGCCTAACTGGAGGACAGTCCCTGAAGAAGTCAGCCTCTGTCTCCAGTTACGCGGATCTCTCTCTCTTTCTCTGTGGGAGGGGGCTCACTAGGCTTTTATCAGAATTTGGTAGCCAATCAGAATGTATACTCCACAGAACTTTCTAGTCTGATTATATAACATAATTGGGCATGCGCACTGTTATCCTCCCTCACACTGGGCATGCGTCTGACAGGGAAACTAGGTCACCCTTGAGTGACAGGCCCATAGGTCATGCAAAGGCCACGTGCAGGGCCTGTTACTATGGCGCTTACAAGATAGCCTCTGCACTGGCAGCACTCACAGAGCAAATTTCCAAGACACTCTCCTAAAATCTTTTTATAAAATATATTAAATCTATTAAACAGGCATCAGTAATATTAAGAGGAGCAAAGTAACATTTGGACTTTAAAAAAGACTTTGACCTGGTATCCCATGATGTCCTTATGGAAAAATTGGGCAACTGCTGCCTCGACTACTCCACAGTCCAATGGCTGGGTAACTGGCTCCAAGGCTGGACCTAGAGAGTGATAGTTGACAGAACTGAATCAACATGGCACTCTGTGACTAGTGGTGTCCCCCAAGGCTCTGTTCTGGGACCTGTACTCTGTAATGTCTTTATAAATGATCTGAACACTGGTGTCAGAAGCAGACTGGCTAAGTTCACTGACAACACCAAGCTTTGGGGAAGAGTATCCACACTTGAGGATAGGCTGGTGATACAGGCCAACCTCGATAGGCTTTCAAGGTGGGCCGATGAAAACCTAATGGCATTTGATACAGAGAAATGCAAGGTGCTCCACCTCAGGGAAAAAAACCCCACATCACACTTATAGGCTCGGCAATGCTACACTTGCTAGCACCATGACTGAAAGGGACTTGGGGGTCATGACTGACCACAAGATGAACATGAGCCACCAATACTGTACCTGGCAAAGCAAACAAATCTCTGGCTTGCATCTACCGATGCATCTCAAGCAAGACCCAGGATGTCATCCTTCCACTGTACTTGGCCTTGGTGAGGCTGCAGCTGGAGTATTGAATCCAAATCCGGGCTCCACAATTCAGGAAGGACATGGAGAAGCTTGAAAAAGTCCATAGAAGAGCCACGCACATGATCAGAGGGCAGGTGAACAGGCCTTATGGAGAGAGGCTGCAAGCTATGGGACTCTTCAGCCTGGAGAAGCTCAGGCTCAG